GCCTATCACTTGTTTGGCTCTTTTTTCATATCTTTCTCATCTCATCAGTCACATAAAAGTTGACTCTTTTCTTATGGCCAAAACCCTATTATGGTTAACGCACTTGGATTCTTGCCCCACTTGCCTTCACAATGCCACAATCATTCTCCCAAAGCTATGTCCAAATCAGAAGGAGGCAATGGGATTCAATATAATGGAACGCCATTAAACGCAGTGGATCCTTTTCGAATGGAATCTTGTTCACGTACAGAAGTAACCAATCAAATGTGTGCAGGTTGGGTTATTGCGTGTTCAACGAAATCCAGAAGAGAGGCCAACAACGGCTCAGATTGTTTCATATCATTGTAATGTATCCATTGAATTACCAGCTCCAAGAGAACCATCATTCTTCGGGCATTTTAATATAGCTACGGAAGCAGGATCTGCTTTGGATCAAAGTTCCAAGACGACCGTTTCAAATGAAATGTCCGAGAGTGAACTCTTGTCTCGATGAAATGAGGTTAATCTTTTCTATATTTATATATATTCAAGTCATGGATCAAATGGAAGTATTTTCTTTCATTTATTCCTCAGTCAATTTAAGCAAAATAGTTTTTTTTTTTTTTTAATAATCACATGCAAGAATCAAAGTGAAGCACGCAATTAAATTCAACATGGTTTATTTATTATATCAGTCACTAATTGTTCGTTCAAATTCCTAGTTAATTAGACGTGCTAAAGCTAGCGTTTACTTTTAGGGTGTTTAATTAGTCGTTAGCTATTCGTCCAAATTCCTCTATTAATTTGAGTATCAGTGCTTCTAAATCACAATGTGTTCTGTTAATTCTCAAAACACAAAAGACTTCTACTTTTGGCATATGAAATCATAGATGACTCTTGAAGAAAGTAGAGCGGCAAAACCAGACTTACTATGTCTGCTCTTAAATATAAAAACAAATTAACTAATATGTAAAAATTAAAAAATTAATTAAGTTAGTTATCTATAAAAAAAAAGTATGTTAAGTATCTAAAATATCCCTATGTTATTTGTACTAGAAACTACTTTTTGACGAATACCTTTTAATACATGTGAGAAGAATTTGAAAAAATTATAAATTTGGCGGACAAAATGAATTGAAAAACTAATTACATTTAGAACAAAAGAAAATTCCTTTATCAATTCTTATATTTAGGACATGAGGGTAACTGTCATAAACCTATACATGAAGCGATAGTACTTTAGAAACCCTTGACTGATTAAACAGAAAGAACAGAGGAGATATGAGCAAGAATATGTCAACACGTTCTGTTCAAGATGAAGACTGCTTGTACAATAGAAGGAACAATATGATTAAAAACTCATGCAATCATGATTCCTAATTTACATTTCAACAATTATATGGGGCCCTCAAACATATTACTATCCTAATTGTAAATTAGACTACAAATCTAATTCCATATTATTTAATCCTAGAGTCTAGTTAAGATTTCTTTTATATCAAAATAAATCCTAATACCCAAATAATTCATACCTAATGGTGGCTAAACATTAGGTAGACATACCAAAGCAGGATTAAGTAATTAAAAATTAAGTATAATTAATTCAGTGAAAACATATTCTAATCCACTCTATCTTCATAACACACCCTTCCTCTGTTTTGCTGCCGTCCTTGAATGCCCAATTAAGTGCAGCCGTCCTACCTTCTGCGATGCTTAAACTCCAAAATTATATATTGCCAGCAGTCCTTAATATAAGAGCTACTTAATTAATTTGAGTAGATTAAAAAATAATTAAGTTAATTCTTCTTAATTAAGTGTGTTGGTTAGAACTATCATTATTATAAGAATTATCTTTAAAAAAAGTAAATATAAGAAACAAAATGAATTGAAGTCTTATATTTAAAATCAAAATAAAAATCAAACTGATTCTTATATTAAGGACAAAATATAGTATTTCATTCAGAACTCACTCTTGCCCCACGTCTCATCCATTAATAATTAATAACACTATATATATTTATTATATTCCACTTATCAGTAACTGCTCCTTTCTTTATTTTATTTGGTTTAATCCATTCCAACTTCTCAATTAATGGATTTGTTGATAAATCTTTCTTCCATGACGGGATCCACGCTATTTTACTATTTTCTGGTTCGGTGGAATGTCGTTTCCAACTCGTGCCTATAATGCTATCACTATCAAGCCAAGGCTTCAAAGGGCCACGCTGTTTTACTCTGTCTTCTTCTTCTTATGTTTTTAGCATCTTCTTTGTATGTGTATGTTTTGTCTTCAATTTTCATCCCACCTAAACCTTGTATATTTCCTACAAAACAAAATATGATTTTTTTTACGTACAGTTACCTTCAATCTTTATTTGTCATGTTGTGAGTAACTTTTCAGCGAGACCTAACTTTTGTTGATGACAAAATATAAGATGAATATACTTTATGACAAGATTCTTTTTCTTTTTCTTTTTCCCTTTGGGTTGAACTGGGCGCCCAGAACCAAAAAAACTACATCAAACAACTAAAGGGGAAAAAAAACAAGAAGACAAGACAATAAACGCAAGATTATTCGTTTTTTTTAATCCTATAATTGACTAAAACGAAAAATATAAATAAAAAATATTGACTTAATCAAGAATTTGACTATTCAAACTTCACACTAGTGTTGGCTAGCTGCTCCTCATAAGTTACTTGTATTGCCAACAACTTCATTTGCTAGACCATAACAATAGCCCCCAAAGATATGGTTCAACTCCATCATTCCTCCATGCCATCAAGCCTTATCGTTTCTTTGGCTTTCTTCCTTACATTTCTTTCTCAGCTTCTTATTCTCACCGCCCAGCCGCCTGACTTCCTAACACATGATTGTTACCCAGAAAGAGGTAACTACACAAATTCAAGTGCCTATGACACCAACCTCAAGACCCTCCTTTCTGGTTTCACTTCCGACGACACAAACATTGAATATGGCTTCAATCAATTCGTCTTATGGCCAAAACCCAGACGTAGTTCACGCATTTGGATTCTGCAGAGGCGATGTTAAGCCAGATTCTTGCCGTAGTTGCCTCCTCAACGCCGCAATCCTTCTCCCACAACTATGTCCAAATCAGAAGGAAGAAGTTGGATACTATGACAATTGCACGTTTCGATACTCACACCGTTCATTATTTGGAATATACAACGTCTCTGATAGAATATTCTTTGCGTGGAGTCAACAAAGTTCAACGACACTTAACGATATATATGTTCAGGTACAATTGGATAAAGTAGAGGACCAAGCACCAATTGGGGATTCTCATCGTAAGTTTGCAGCAGCAAATGATAGTACAAGCGAATCTGGGGAAGTGTATGCCTTTGCTCAGTGCAGCCCAGATCTGTCTGAGGATTATTGCAGGTCCTGCTTACAGAATGTTTCCAGTAGAATCCAAATATGCTGTGACGGAAGGAATGGTGGTAGGGTTTTCAATCCCAGCTGCTATATTAGATATGAGAGCTACCTCTTCTATGATTACACGGCTGTTTCAACACAGCCACCTCCTCCGCCATCCACCGCTGTAACGCTGCCCCAAGGTACTTTCTTGGCATATATGGATATCATTTGTTTTAAAGATTATAGTACGAAGAAGGAATTGAATATTATTAAAAGTTTTTTGCTTTTGAATGATAAATGTATTACTTCTTCCGGTCTTATTTATAAGCAACAATTATCATCTCTCTCTTATATCTAAATATAAGCAATATTTGTAAGTTATCTTAAATTTTTGTAGCAAATTCTCTATCTTGCCCTCATTAATTACTTATTTTAATACTCAGTATATTTATTATCTTATTTCTCAAACCATCATCTCTTCATCACACATTCTCTCTCTTCTATAATTCTTTTTATTATAATAATTTTCTTATTCTCTCTCTTATACTCTATCCCCCATAAATAAGGGCATTTTAGAAAAAGAACTTCTAATTTCTATATATTTATTGTCTTTAACTAATTTTAACTAATATTTTGATTTACGTGATGAGCTCCAATCTTCCTTATAAAAAGGGACTGAGGGAGTAGCATTTTAGATCATGTTGTGGCATCGTTTTATTATTTGTTGGATACAAAATTTTGAAATACTAAATTTGTATTTGCCCCTTAATTTCCATGTCATTGCCATGAACTATCTTGTGCTCTCAATAACCGAAGTGACCCGTACGTTGGGTTGGTACTCTATATAAAATCAGGAGGGAGTAATAGCACTGGATCAAAAACTGTTGTCAAGATTATTGTCCCAATTATCATTTCGGTGATACTTTCTTGTTTGGTGGGTTGCTATTTGCTGAGGAGAAAAACAAGGAAGAGAAGCCAAACTATTCTGACAGAAAACTGTAACTTATTGTTTGTTCTCTTTTAAACTTAATAATTTTTATATTTGACCATAGCATGCTTATTAATTAAAGTGACATCCACATATGTATACTGACCCAGTTGGAGAAGAAGGTTCAAATCTGAGATCCTTGCAATTTAGCTTGGCTACAGTTGAAGCTGCAACAGATAAGTTTTCCGAAGAGAACAAAATAGGGAAAGGAGGATTTGGAGAAGTTTACAAGGTAATATAACAAAACTAATTACCAATAACAAATTATATATCATATTTCTAGTTATAGTAATTCAATTTGTTTTCAGGGCACTCTTCTTGATGGACGAGAAATTGCTGTCAAGAGACTCTCAAGAAGATCAATGCAAGGAACATTAGAATTCAAAAATGAAATTTTGCTTATAGCCAAACTCCAACATAGAAATTTGGTGACGTTATTGGGATTCTGCTTGGAAGAACAAGAGAAAATTCTTGTTTATGAATTTGTGCCTAACAAAAGCATTGATTTCTTCTTATTTGGTACAACTTCTAACCTTTCATTGTTCAAGTTCTATGCATATCCTGTCATATGCATTTTCCTAGCTAGTTTGTTCCTAGTACTATTACTCTCATAATTATTTGACTTAATTTTATAGATTCTGAAAAACAAAGATTATTCAATTGGTTTGAGCGATTCAAAATTATCGGAGGAATTGCACAAGGACTTTCTTACTTACATGAACATTCTCGCCTAAAAGTCATCCATCATGACTTCAAACCAAGCAATATTTTATTAGATAACAAGATGAATCCAAAAATATCAGATTTTGGTATGGCAAGAATGATTTCTATAGATGAAGATCAAAGAAACACAAATAGAATTGTCGGGACATAGTAAGTATTGATGCCCTTCTTTTTTATTGGTTATCTCAATTAATAAATTGCATGAGAAACAAAAGGAGCTTGTGTCTATTTACTATGTGAACATTGCTTCATATATCCTATTTATCTCCATGACGAGTTTTGCTTTATGTCCTCATTTGTCCCAAATTGATCCAAGTATGTTTTTTTACATTATACTAACACTAGCATACTTTTTTTTTTGTCAAACTTTGCAGTGGTTATATGGCTCCTGAATACAGAATGAATGGACAATTTTCTGAAAAGTCTGATGTATTTAGTTTTAGAGTTATAGTTTTAGAAGTGCTTAGTGGAAAGAGGAATGCTAGATCGTATGAATCACACCTCTTAACATATGTAAGTATTAAATCTATGCTAATTGTTGCTCATGTATTGTAATCATATTGTCATATCCATATGTTGCAAATCAAGATGCTAAGGTCAATTTGATTGTGTAATTATTTGACAAGGTCTGGAAGAAGTGGGACGAGGGATCACCATTGCAAATATTGGACCCTTTTCTGATGGAATCATGTTCTGAAATTGAAGCAATAAAATGTGTGCAAATTGGGTTATTGTGCGTTCAACCAAATCCAGAAGAAAGGCCAACAATGTCTCAAATTGTTTCATATCTTACTAATCTTTCCATTGACTTACCATCTCCAAGAGAACCTGCGTTCTTCGTGCGTCCCAATCCAACTATAGTTCCAGAATGGGGTTTGGATCAAACTCTTCAGAGTTATTCAACCTCCAATTCAGCTACTGGTTCAAATGAATCGTCTCAGCTCTTACCTCGATGAAAAGAAGTTCATATTTTCTATGTGTATATGTGTTTATTTATGTCGTGAGATGTATCAACTTTCATTTAGAGAAATTTGTTTCATCTTTTTCTATACATATGATGGACAAAGATATTTATAGCCCTCTTGATATGGCTTGCACAGCTTGAGTTTTCAAAGAAGTCATTATATCATTTACTATATTTAATTTTTTTGAATATATAGTATTACTTTGCCGCCATTTTAGTCATTAAATATGAAGAAAATGATTAATTAATATTTAATTTAGAAGAATCCGAACGTGCTAGGGAACTTTGATTAAGAAAAGAGGAGGACAGATTCAGGGAAAAAAGGTTTTATAATAGACATCAAAATATAAGATTAAACAGATAGTCATAACCTTGTGTATTATCGATCAGATCATTATTAATTACGCTAACTCTTATTTACGGAGCACATAGATATATAAAATAAGTTTTTATTATAAAGGAAAATCGAAAAGAAAGAAAGAACAGAAGGTGAGGGAGGAAAACACCAGGCTGGGCTGAGGCTATTCGTCTGGAGAGCAAGCCCGAAGGCTAAACCCAATCCTGTGGGCATTGTCAAGCCTCCGTCCATATCTCTGTGATTTGATCGGGTCCGGGCTTGGTATTGGGTACATTTTTCGCTTGAAAAAGGCAAAATTTTTATGAATTCTAAGAACCCCTGCCTAAAATCTTGTCGTAAGAAAAAAAACAACATAATCACTAAAAACTTACATAACAAGTGACACAGCATGCAGTGATAAATTTCAGTGCAGAAAATAACAACCAATTCATATTACTCACTTATTATTGTGATTTTTTGGTGATCATATTCCTTCCATACAATCTTATAGTCCATTTTGACAAAAAAAAAATCTCAGTACTTTTACCAAAAACTAATGGCAGGATCCAAGTTTGCTGATATTCAAAATGGACTTGCATATATGGTGCAGGAGAAAATAAAAAATGACTAAAGACAATTTGAAATTAAAATTGAATTTATTTATATATAAAAAGATTGGATCATTGACATGACTATAAAAACTAGTTGGAAATTGAATTTGGTCATAAATATAAAACCTTATCAATTCGTGTTGTCCCCCATACTTATCTTTTTTTTTTTTATGTGTGGCTAAACTATTTCTATTAACTACATGTATTAATAAGTTTACATTAAAAGTGGCTTCAAGACAAGTGATTTAAGAGGTATTTCAGGAAAAAAATGAAACATTTTTTACAAGTAATTAATTACCAACATAGAACCCCAAGCAACAATCTAACAAGTGCACACAATCACATAAGACAGGGAAAAAATTTTAAAATTTATTTAAATTAATTAAGTAGATCTTATATTTTTGTAACTGTTATAGACCTATACGTGTAGTCACAGTACCTGAGAAACCCTTGACTGATTGATGTTGATCATGCAGCTTGGGTTTGAGAGAAGTTATGATTTACCTTTGAAAAATAACATCACTAGGCACGTGGGAATGTATTTAAAATATGGCAAAATCATTAATTTAGAATGATCAAATTGTCAAGGGTGTGTTTGGTTCAATAGAAAGGAAGGGAAGGGATTTTAATAAAAAAGAGAAAAGAGAAAGGAATGGGAGGAATTTTAGGAAAAAGAAGGGAAATGAGAGATTTTAATGTCATCCTATTTGATTCAAAAGGAGAGGGGAGGGACAATATTTTTATATGAACAATTTTGTCCTTATTTTATTTGACTCAAATTTTGCAAAATGTTTAATAAAATATAATTATAAATTGAATAAATATAAATATAATACGCATATAGGAGAAAAAATTGACATCTTTGTTAGGTAACTTCGTTTAAATAAGATTAAACCAGTACAAAAATCTGAAACAAATAAAAGAAAACACCTAAACGGAATAACATCAACACTGTTCTTAAAACTAACTAAATTAACCAGTATCAATATGAATATTTCTCATATATCCAGCCATTAGTTTGTACTATAATTTCGTCTGACTTCCCACGTCATTTGCTTTTCGATTGACGGGTGAGACTTTAGAAGAAAATGAGGCTACGTTGCTCTTTTCTCATTTTTCATCACCCTATTTTCTCATTTATCCGGGACATCGTGGATATTTTTCAGAATGGATACAAATATTTATTTATACTGATTTGTAACCTTTTATTACCCAAGTTCAAAACACAAAATGCTGACAAAAACCAGATCTTAAATATTTACATCCTTATATAATTAGCATCCACACAGACAAATAAAAACTTGACAATAAACCACTAATTTCACGAAGCCACTAATTTCTCCTTGAGGAAGACTGTGTGTTGAGCACTGGCAATTGTGGATATTCTAACAATGAACCAATAATGTCGCAAAGAAGGTACTGAGATGAGGTATGCTTGCGAGATGCGCTTGCATCTTCCCGTGGCCACTAATTTCTTGAGGATTGCAGATCCTCATATTCATGGAAAGAAAGCAGGAAGCTAACAGGTGGAACGACCGAGAGGGCAGGTGGTGAGGCGGAGGCAAAACCAGGTGGCGGCGGCGCCGACTGAAGGAGGAAAAGCCATCAAGCAATGGTGAGCCTCGACCAAGCACGAATGCCGAACGCTAGGAGGAGCGGCTGAAGAGAATGAACAGAAGAAATGGTTCTGAAGATTGAAGGGTAACGGTGGAATATAAAGAAAATTGTCGTGGGCACTTTTGTCATGACAAGAGAATAATTTCTCTCCCCTTAAAAAAAACCCTGACTTTTGAGGGAAGAGAGAGGAGGGAAGGATGCACCGATGCAGACAAAGATAAAAATATTTTCCCCCGCTTCCTTTCATTTTTTTCAAACCAAACACCCTTTTGCTGCTCCTCCCCTTCCTTTCCCCCATCTCCTCCTCAAAAAAGCTCCAACCAAACACTACCTAACTCTAACCAAGTACTACCTAAGTGAATCATGTCTATAACCGGAGAGAGAAGGGGATAAAGAGGGGGGTAGAAAAGACGAATCCTGTACATATTCCAAAAATGTCCCACATAAGACATGATCATCTGGAAGGGGAATCGAGTAAGAATATGTCAAGATGTTCTGTTCATCATATGACTTTCCTTCTCTTACGTCATTTTTGTCAAGAATATACATCTAAAAGATAACAATGGATAGATGCCAGGAACAAGTCAAAAGCGGAGACTGCGCGTACGACAGAAATAATGATAATATACGTGTCTAATTGCGCTTGTCGGCAACCACATGTGTTTCGATCAAGGAATTGTTCCCAGGAAATGCGTCACTGCTGTTTCTTCCACAGCTCGACTTGATCAAGAATTTGACCATTCAAACCTTGAGATTAATTAATAATGTTCGCTGGCTCCTCAATTAGAAGGCCATGGCTGATTATTTTACTCATATTACTAAATTATTGTATTTGCTAACCCACAACAATATGTAATAGCCCAAAGGCATGGTTTTCTAGGTACCCTATCAGTCCTAAGGCCAATGGTTTCGTAGGTCCCATTTTTTATCAATATAATCGCATTTATGTCGGTCACTGACTCGATCAAGGGACTTTAAGAAGTTGACTATTCAAACTTCAGAATCACACTAGACTGCTCATCGATCATCCATAAAGCTCAATATGCTTCGATTCTTCTATCGTTCCTTTGAACACAATGCCTTTATTTTATTTATTGGCTCTGCTGATCATCGCTTTCCATTTTCATCTTCTCCTTCTCACCGCCCAGTCAGATGATATCCGAGGGGTCATTTGTTACCCAAAAAGAGGTAACTATTCAAACCCCAGTGTCTACCACACCAACCTCAATACCATTCTTTCTAATTTCACTTCCGACGATACAAACATTGAATATGGCTTCATCAATTCCTCTTATGGCCAAAACCCTGACACAGTTCACGCATTTGGATTCTGCAGAGGCGATGTGAAGCCAGATTCTTGCCGTTCTTGCCTCCTCAACGCCACAATCTTTCTCCCACAACTTTGTCCAAATCGGAAGGAGGCAGTTCTATACTATGACAATTGCACGTTTCGATATTCATATCGTTCAATCTATGGAATATACAACGTGTCTGATGGACCATACTTTTTGTGGAACCGGGCAAATTCAACGACACTTACGGATCAGTACGTACAGGTACTATTGGACAAAGTAAAGAACCAAGCACCAATCGGGGATCCTCGTCGTAAGTTTGCAGCAGCAAATGACAGTACAAGCGAATCTAGGAAAGTGTATGCTTTTGCTCAGTGCAGTCCAGACCTGTCTGAGGATTATTGCAGGTCCTGCTTACAGAATGTTTCCCAACGAATCCAACTATGCTGTGACGGAAAGAATGGTGGTAGGGTCATCTATCCGAGCTGTTATATTAGATATGAGAGCTACCTCTTCTATGATTACGCGGCTGTTTCAGCCCAGCAGCCATCTCCTCCGCCATCCACCGCCGTGACGCCGTCCCAAGGTATCTGCCTAGTCCTATCAATTTTCTCTATCTTTTACTTATTCATTTATAATTTTTTTAAGTACTACCCTCTCTGAAGTCCTAGATATAAAAGCTAGAGAAGGGGTTAGTTTTAGTCATCATAAATATAATAACACAAATACTGATCTGTCTGTTTGGTGTTATATATAGAATCAGGAGGAAGTGATAGCACTGGATCACAAACTGCGGTCAAGATCACTGTCCCCATCATCGTTGCAGTGATATTTTGTTGTTTGGTGGGTTGCTATTTGCTGAGGAGAAAAACAAGGAAGAGAAGCCAATCTATTCTTACAGACAGCTGTAATCTACTGTTTGTTCACTTTTAAACTTAAGAATGTTCATATTTTTCCATAGCGTGCTTATTAAATTGATATTCCCATATAATGGTGGTCTAGTTGGAGAAGAAGGTTCAAATCTGAGGTCCTTGCAATTTAGCTTGGTTACAATTGAAGCTGCAACAAATAAGTTTTCTGAAGAGAACAAAATAGGAAAAGGAGGATTTGGAGAAGTTTACAAGGTAATATTATAAAACTAGCGGCCAATTAATTAATTATATATCATATTCCTAATTACAACAAAGACTAAGATACATCCAGTACCCCGAAATATTTTCTTAAGTGCATCTAAAACCTCGAAGTATTTTGTGATGCATCCAACTCCTCGAAATATTTTTTAGGCGCGT